TATACGATTATATATATGGAACGACGGATAAATCATCAGATGAATGTACAAATTGTCATTGAAACGTAGTGAAGATGTGTCGATGTAGTTCATCTAACTCATCTCACTACGCTTGATTCCCTCTATCATCTTCGATTGGGATTTGCTTCTTGGGCTTCTAGGCCTCATTCATCTTCTTTTACTTCGATATTTTTCTCTATTCTCACTTATTTCTTCTCTTTTATTTTCTCTCTCCCTCGCCCTGCTTTCCTCTTGGAAGCTCACTCCTTCAAAAATCTCAACTTGCATTCTTGGGTTATTCCGGCATTTTATTTTCAGGTTTTCATTATATATTTTTTTCAATTATATTATATAAAAATATAATCTACATATATGGTTGATGAAGATGTTTATTATCTTTTATTGGGTATATATGTATAGTATTTCGTAAAATCGCGAAAAGATGGTATCAATCGCTTCATTGAAGAAGCTGTACTTGAAGCAGAGAAGAAAGGAGCTAAAGTGCTGAGTCTTGGTCTTTTGAATCAGGCAAGTACATTTTGATATACTTTCATTTACTTGTGTTCCTAAAGAGATGTGGCAAACATGCATATACGTGTTACATCAATCCATAGTATAGTTAATTACTATATCTAACATAAATTTGTTTAGACACGTTCAACATATTTATCATGAAGTATTACATAAGTTATGCTATAAAAAGTTTAGATTTGTGATTTATAATTAATGTATAGGTTATATATATTCTATTTCACAAATCCATATATGTATATGCACGTGTTTATGGGTCTAATATATTAATAAGATTAACTTATCTAATTAATTAAGCAGGTTTATATGAGTTTAGATTATTTAAGTTTAGTTATATACTTAGATGCAAATTTTAAAATTATGTACAAACAAGTCTAACTTAATAATGATATTGATCAATTTACATAAAAGATTTAAGTATATTTAATTGTGTATCTAAAATGCATGTGTCATGTAAATAGATAACAGTTAAATTCCGACAAAATTAAAATAAAATAAATTTTATTAATTATATCTGACATATTAATATGATTAACTTATCTAATTAGTAAAAAAAGTTTAAATGAGTCTAAATTAGTTAACAAATCTGATCACATATATTTAAATCTAATTCTAAATACGTCTAATACGTCAATGACTCAAATCTAGTTTAGATTAAGTATAAATCTGTTGAACTCTTTATTAAATATTTAGTTAATAATAGGGAGTCAAATATGTACAATCAGCAAATCAAAAAGTCAGTCATATAAAATTGGTATGTACAGTCACTATGAATAGTTAAATTTGTTGTAGTTAGTTAAATTAGTTTAGATTAGTTCCTTAATTAATTATCATTAGGGTAATTAATTTAGACTAAAGTTTGTATATAAATATACAGTTTTTTATTGATGAAAATAGTCTTCCTCGTATTACGATATCTCTGTTTTCTGTCTTACACTCTCTCGAACATTCGAATACAAGAAATCTCATCGATTTTTTATTGATTTCTTGATGATTCTAAATTTTGATAATTAACAAGTCTAAAATATAATTTTATTACAGGGGGAGGAGCTGAATAGATATGGAGAAATATACATTGAAAAATACCCAAAGCTCAAAGTAAAAGTGGTTGATGGGAGCAGTTTGGCAATTGCAGTTGTACTTAACACCATTCCACCAGGAACAAAGCAAGTCTTGCTTGCTGCAAAATTCTCTAAGGTTGCCATTGCCGTCGTTTCTGCTCTCTGTGATCGGGGCATTCAGGTATTTAACCATTTTATTCTTATTAATTTTTTGTAAGCAAATAATCTCTTTCCCTAATCAGTTGTTTAAATGGGTGATTGCTATATTTTTAAATAAAAATACACATATTTTAAATAATTTAAAAGCACTTTATTATTTTAAGCATTTGCTTTTAACAAATCCAATAATTCGCTATTTTTAAATTAATATTTATTTAATCACGCAAGCATGATTCATGGCATTTATATTATTATTATTATTATTTTGTGGTTTCACATTACTGTCCATTTGATAGACCAGAAGGTCCAGAACCTTCCGGCCCAGAATTCTTTTTGTAAAACCTCATAAGTCAACCTTTTTTTGGTCCCAAATAATAATAATAATAATAATTAAACAGTCAACTTTCACAGGTGGCAATGCGGCTTCGAAATAACTATTTGGAGCTTAAACACATGGTTCCAGAAATATCTAATAATTACTTGGTCCAGTCACCGGCAGACGAGTACAAGGTACAATCAATTTAGTAAATTACTATTTTATCTTTAAATTATAAATATATTTTATATTTAAACTTTTATTTAATGTTATAAAATTATTTTTTAATTTTGTAATTAAATTAATTAAGTATTTATATATAGGTATGGTTAGTGGGAGATGAATTAAGTGTGGAAGATCAGAAAAAAGCATCAAAAGGAACAACATTCATTCCGTTATCTCCATTTCCACCCAAAAAAATACGCAAAGATTGCTATTACCACTCCACTCCAGCAATGCTTCTTCCGGAAACATTTCACAATGTCCACTCCTGCGAGAACTGGCTGCCTAGAAGAGCAATGAGCGCATGGCGAATCGCGGGGATTTTACACGCGCTTGAAGGATGGCAAGTTGACGAGTGTGGCGACCAAGTCTTCAATGTTGATAAAATTTGGGAAGCATCTCTTCGCCATGGATTTCTTCCACTCAATTGATCAAAATTCTACCTACTTGTTTCATCAGACGGATTATAATATTGCACTTAAATTAAATAAACCCATTCTGCTAGTTAATGTACTATTATATTATTATGAAAAATTATTAAGTATTTCGAGAGTATAAATGAATATGTATTAGTATAAATGCTACGAAGAATTATCAAGTATTTCAAGAGTATAAATGAGTTCTTGTGATTTATATTCTGTTTTTTCATAATTTTTTAATAAAAATTTAAAATATACAAATTAAATTTATAGAATTTATCAACTCATGTATTACTTATGAAATATCTTATAATTAATACATTTGTTATATTGTGATATTTAATAAAAAAACAAGGCGCATTTATTACACATCAAGTTAAAGACGTCTTAATTCTACTTATATTTTATCAATTTGTATTTTTTGTTTGCGTAGTTTTGATCAAAAAGCAAATACTTATCTTTATTTTAATTTTTTAATCATCATACTTCTTCTATTTATTGAATAAGTGATCATCCAAATATTTTGTTGAATTAATTCACGTGAACTAATAATAATACAAAGTGAATTAATACAACCATAAATAGAAGCAGAGAGGTGATTGCAAAATGAAAAAACACAAGATTTTACTTGGGAAACCCTCCAATGTAGAGAGAAAAATTAGGGATCAAGGGAATTTATTGGGAAATGATATCTAAAACAATAACAAATTAATTAATTCCCTTCCTTGTTATGCACGTGGAGAGAGAGAGAGAGAGGCAAATAGAAAAAGTGATGGCCCCACCCCTCTTTCTCTTTTTGGTGGCCATGTGATGATGATGAAGGAGAAAGGAAAACCACACCGTTCATTTTTATTTTTCTTCTTCTTTCTCTCATCTCGTTCTTTTCTCTCTCAGCTTCCTGCACAATCTCTCTCTTTTTAATGATTTTTATTTTTCTTTGACTTGTACTTATTCGTTCTAGGTTTTTCCTTTTATAGGCGATGGAACCCGTGAAGGTCAACTCGTAAAATCATCTAAAAATCACTACTTATATCTCTTTTGAACGTTGAAATCATGTGATATGATCTTCATCTTGTCGCTAAAATTCTACCTGAGAAATCCTCCCTCATGCGATCTCATCTCTATCTTCACGTTGAGATCCCATTGATGATGGGCTGAAATTAATAATTTTTGTAACACTCCGCTCAACGTCGCGTTGAATTTGTAACCAAAAATCTTTATTTATTTAAACTTTAAGACCACTGAACTCATTTAAATTTATTTCGCAGTTTTATATTGTAATTCATGATTTAAATGTACAACTTCAATTTTATACTAATTTCGTTATTTTATTTTTATTTAATTTTATTTATTATAATTATTTTTATTTTATTATTATTTTGATTTATTTTATACATTATTATTATTTTGTTATTAAAAATAATTTTCAGAAGAAAATAGAAAAAAAGAAAAAAATCCAGCAAGAAAACACCCACATGAGAGGTTAGCCTGCACGGGCATTGCACGCTATGCGCGGGCGTGCGCACGTGACCAGATGTAGGAGGTGCGCACTGTGCGCACGCCCCATTCATGAGGGGCCGATCTTGCGCGCGTGTCTTGTCGTGCGTAGGAAGGTTAGTCGGCGCGCGGACAGGACCAAGCGCTGCGAACTGTGCGCGTGTCGTCTGCACAGTGGGCCTACGCACTTGGAGCCTGTGCGCTGTAGGTCTTACGCGCGCGCAAGCTAGCTCCTGCGTGTGGCAGGGTAGGCTGGCGCCTGCAGCGTGTGATCAACTTTGTGAAGCGCACTACCGCCTCAGGTAGTGTATCGCGGCCCCTTTGGGCGTCGTGCACTGCCTTGGGCGGTGTGCCGTTGCTGGTGGAAGAATTTTTTCTCTTTTTTTTTGCGTTATTGTCGTATCGCGTCAAATCGATCATCTTTCACTTAACCTTCTCTCTCTCTTCACTGAATTTTACCACTTGCGCAAATTCGACGGTTCGCATTTTCTATAAATAGGGACCCTTTCTTCCATTTCCTCATCACTTCCATTTCATTCTTCCATCTTCCAAGAGTTTAGAGAGAGAGAGAAATGATTTAGAGAGAGAAAGAGAAAAAGAAGAAGAAGAACAGTGTAGAAAAATTTTAAAGTTTTGGTAAAGAATTTAGTATTTCTTTAAACATTTTAAAGAGTATTTCTAGAAAATTAAATTTATGAATTTGTGTTTTGATATTTTACATGTTTCATAGTTCTAATGAAGTAGACTGTTCTTAATTTCAAGCATTGCTATGTAATTTTATTAGCACTTGATTATTTACATGTAAATTAAATAATATGAATATGGTGATATTTGCCTGAAAGATATAAAAAAAAAGAAAAAAAAGGGGAATGAGCTTGAATGGTCCAAGAAATATATGTATCTATATTGATATGCATAATGCATCAAGTGTCTCGTTAAGTTTTTTTTATCTCTGAGGGGATATATGTTTCTCTCTCCCCTATCTGGTCTGGAAAGACATGAGATGACTACTCTCTGTTAATGACGGCCTACCCTCTGACGAGAGCGGTGATATAAATATCTTTTAAGGGTCACCTTTGGCTAAGTACTGCTATAACTATAGAATATCTTATAGAACCACAGTGGTTGGTACGATCGTAGTCATAAATTGTACCATAGTTTGGCAAGCAAGAAATATGCCTGAGCAAATTACCGTTATCTGTATCTGATATGGTAATTCCACATGGGTAGTCAAAAATCTATATTTACCTTTAGAGATGAAAGTTGAAACGATTTCGTGAAGTATGACACAAAAATCTGAGCATTTCACAATTTATTTGATTTTCTCTATTGTCAAGTATGATATTTGATTTTGATTATTGTGACTATGACATGATGTTTTCTTTAATAAATAAAATTATTTTCATAAAGTAAAATAGGACTCTGAAGTGACCTGATGGTAGCTATTTATGATATAGTTATTCACTTTTAAAATCTTACAATGTTATTTAAATGCTATTTTTCTTACTGAGTATATTGAGCTCACCTGTTCCATACCCTCCTAGATGAGGAAGATAATAAGGAACCAATCATTGACCTACCCTTTGAAGTATATGAGGACCCCGTGGATCCACAACTTTTGAGTGCATGACTTGTCCCGCACTCTGATGAGTCCAATCGCATAATGATAGAAGTGGACCTTTTGTATTTTTAGTATCTTGATATTTTGTATTTTGCCATTTATAGTCTCAGTTATGTATATATGTGTAATTGGAACTCATATAGTTTGGTAAAGGATTTGTAATAATTTGCTCCGCTACATGTAACTTTATCATACACTCGTAATCTATTTCTGTATCCGACACCCTTATGCCTTAGTTAGCATTTGGGATGTCACAAATGGTATCAGAATAGTTATGCAGACCAAATCCCTTACAAATGAGACTGTAGGTAGAAAAGACCCTTAGGAATGTCTAAGAAAAATGAGTCATCTTTTCAAAATTAAACCACCAACTCGCGTCTTCCTTTCTTTTGTAAGAATGATGCAAGGGAGACCTTTTGTAGAACGTACTAAAAGAGCCGAGGCCCAGGACCATTTGACTAGGGCCGAGTTTACCGAAATCTTTTGAGCTATCCAAGGATTGACCGCAGCTGTATGACCGATCCAAGTCAACCCTTGTCAACACCCTGTTCCAGAATACCAAACAGTCGAAAGGTCTATCTCTCACAACATACCGGAGTTTAGGAAACTTAACCCACCACACTTTGAAGGTGGTCCTGACCCCTTAGGAGCTGAAGCCTGGATCTTGCAGATAGAGAAATTTTTCTCTGTCTTAGACCTAACCGAAGAACAAAAAGTCCCCTTAATAGCTTTTATGTTGATCGGTGAAGCAAAAACTGGTGGCGATTTAAGAAAGAAGTCCTGCCTACCCCTACCACTTGGGAAGTTTTCATGAATACATTCTTTGATAACTTTTTCCAGTCTATGTCTAAGAGAAGAAAGAGGAGGAATTTTAGGACCTCTGCCAAAGGAATTTGATAGTTGCTCAATATGTAGCTAGATTTGTCTAATTGTCTAGGTTTGCTCCTCTAATGGTCACACTTAAAAGTCATAAAGTTAGAAAATTTCTGAAAGGCCTTTGTGCCGACAACTATGATCGGGTTGCGATGCTAAGACTCAGCTTATATACCGAGGTGCTAAAACATACCCAGTTGGCCAAAGACCTCATCTTGGGCAGACACTAATGCATTGTTCGAGTTTGTACCCAACAACAGCAACCCCATCAACCCAGAAGAAGATTGCCTAGCCCAGTAAGTAGCCATCTCGATAAACGAATCTGAGTTACTTTTCTCCTTGCTCTACCTCCACCTACTGGACAACCTACCCGACCTTCCCAACCATGTCAGCATTGTGGTCGCTCACATTGTGAATTACCCTGTCGCTGTATCAATCATGCTTGTTATTGGTGTAGAAGCACCCAACATCGTATAAAGGACTGCCCTCAACGGCTGAAAGACATGGCTAGACCTGTAGCCCAATGTCGTGTATACCACCTAGATGAACCCGGTGCCCTTCCCACTCCTGTCCTTATCTAGGGTATGCTTTCTATTCATGATACTTTTGCCAAGGCTTTGATCGATAAAGGTACTACCCACTCTTTATCCCTTGTGTATTTGCTTGTAAATTTGATATTAGACCTAAACTTTTTAAAAAAATATTGACTGTAGAGACTCCCTTTAGGGGATTATTAGAAGCTCACTGTGTGTATAAAGATTGTAAGATAAAAGCTTCAGAAATAGATGTATTTGTGGATTTAATACTCTTAGATTTCTTAGGATTTGACATTATTTTAGGAATAGATAGGTTAGAAAAAATATAGGACAATTATTGATTGTGAAAGTAAAGTTATAACCTTGTAAACTCCGAAAAAGAATTAAAATCTATTTTTCTCCCTAACAATTGAATGAATAGGAATATGGATGTTGATCCTGCTGTGTTTTTCATTTCCATTGTTTGTAACTTTTCAAAAGTTCTTTCTGTCGAATTACTTGGTCTACTTCTCCTGCGAGAGGTAGAATTTTCTATCAAGCTGCTTCTTAAAACCCAACCAATTTTAAAACTTGCCTATCACATGAGTCATGTTGAGGTCGCAGAACTGGAGAACCAACTTTCTGAGCTTCTTGGCCAAAAGTTTATTCACCCCAGTTACTCTCCTTGGGGTACTCCAG